ATATTTAACCCAGCTATAACAGACAATATCACACTCACATAAACAGCAAAATAGAACATATAATACAGTTGATGTGCTACAGCAAAGATATAGATACATTTTGTGAATGGCTATATGACTGCTAATTTCGTGAATGACTATATGACTGCTATTAGGCCTATAAGCTATTACAAGCTGTAGCTAAAATGAATAGCTAGGCTAAATGCTACCGTATATTAAATGCTAGGCCAATCATGCTCTTTAATGGCCTGTTCTACATCAAGATAATGCTATAACGCAACCTGGGTACCCATAAATAAGTGGCGGCCGTCAGATAATTAAGTGGCGGCCGCCAGATAATTAAGTGGCGGCCGCCAGATAATTAAGTGGCGGCCGCCAGATAATTAAGTGGCGGCCGCCAGATAATTAAGTGGCGGCCGCCAGATAATTAAGTGGCGGCCGCCAGATAATTAAGTGGCGGCCGTAATTATATGGCGGCCGCCACTTAATTATCTGGCGGCCGCCAGATAACTGATTTGAAATTTTTATTCACTGTTGACACTAACGGGCTTCCGTACCTTCCCACTAACGTTGAGAAAGCGTTGTGGGTTAAGATAGCAGTAGTTTATGGCACGCCAGGACGGACATAACTATGTCAAACTCATATTCCTCATCGCGTTTACTCACTACCAATCGAGTATGTCCGTCCTGGCGTGCCAGAGCTTTCACCCGCGAGATACAGTAAGCCAAAATCTCCTCACCTACTACTGAAAATCAGCAAAGTTACGTGGGGTAACCATTGAACCCACTATAAATTATAACTTACGTGTGGTATATCAGCTTCATAAACTTCGTTCACAACTTCCTTAACACGCTCTAAGGTACCGTAGTGCCAACGACTTAGTTGAAATCCTAACGCCCAGTACGGTGGCATAAGAGGCATGCCGATTAACTACATTTGAAAAAATAATATTGTTGAAGTCTGTGCCGGCCAAATAAGATTTTAGATATCAGTATCAATTAGACCTAGTACTAAAAATTTAGAAGAAAACAACCGCTATTAAATTGTATTACTATTATTATTATTATTATTATTATTATTATTATTATTATTATTATTATTATTATTATTATTATTATTATTATTATTATTACCATTACCATTGTCATTTTCATTATTATTATAATCATTGACTTCGACATCATTATAGTATAATTATATTATACTTCTTATTATCATTAATATTGACATTACTAATATTTCATAAATTCCCATGATTATTATTATGATTGTACGTATTATAAACATGACACTTACCTCAGATAATTGCATAACAACATTTTCTGGTGACGGACCGAAGAAATAATAGAAATCAAAAATACCACCAATAGTGCGGTAAGTAAGTGCTGGCATGGGCTGCAGGACGACGTCTGCAAATAAGAAAGGCGAAAAATGGAACATTGTGACGTCATAGTAGGCCTACAAGTTCACGCACCACAATAGACCATTGCGGAGTGTCAATCAAACTTAACGACTGACCAATTAGAATAGGGTCAGGAATACGCGCATCACAAACGCGTATGTTTTTTACACTGTCATGTCGTTTTGTGGGACCTTAGCAACAACATCCAAGGGGCGGGGCTTAGCGGAAAGGACCATTGTAAAGTCACAGTTTATCTTTTAAGGTTTTAGAATAATAGTTCAAATGAATGTCACCACAATATGAAAAATAATTACAAATAAATAATCACATATAGAATAAAATAGTATTCATATTCTTTTGTTCAGTCATTCATTCAAAACTTAAATTCAACAAGAATGTTGGAAAACTACATCACGTTTTCTAAACTCAGTATTTTGTTTTGCTAATATGTATATTTCAGAAAATCAAACAATTTTACCAATAAAACTAATAAACGTACAGCAAAAAGTATGTAGAGCACGTACATATTAATTTCACTGTTCCGCCCTGTTATGATTAGATATTAAAATTAGGTCCTAGTAAACACTGGTTTACTAGGAGATTTTGAATATAGGAGGTAATACAAAGATTAGATAAATATTGAAATATAATTTGACCAGGGATGGTTCCAGGATTTGCCCAACGCACTGATAAGGGCTGATGTCCTCGACGAGAGCAAAATAGACTTGGTTGGTCGTCACTCAAAGTCTTACGAAAGTTGTGCAGGAGGGCGAAGCCCTACGAAATATGACAATTTAGAGTTTCACAAGCTTATTTAATCGATTTTAGAGTCTACTAATATGTAGAAAATACATATAATTTTTTTCCCGGACGAATTATGGTTTATCTCCGCGACAAGTGAGGGCAGATCTCCCTGACAGGATGATGGCGACCCGGTTCCCCCGCTGGCGTCACCCCTGTCAGTTAGTCCTACCATCAAGATTTTTCGAGCCCAATCTTGTCAGCATTGCCTTTTCTGATTCATCCATTTAGAACTAAAAATCCGAACAAATTGTGAGTTGACGACTGGTGCGCAAGTTAGTAATTCGAGTTGTAAGACACAAAAATAATGTTATCACCAAAGATATTAACAACTTCAGCAGTGGCTTTACTTCAAGCGATCTTACCCATTGCGTTGCTATTCAAAAGCAAAATTCCGTGTGCGTTTCCATCGTCCTCTACAACCATATGATATGGGTGCGCGCCGTAAACGTTCCATTCATCCTATAACAACGGAAACATTTTTTAAGTACTGTAAAACAAAACTATTATGTTTTTATTGAATGTGGTGAAATCAAATAGAATAGAATCCAATACAATAAACCATCTTACAATTGGAGCGACATCCCGAGTAAAAATTGCCCAAGTTTTCCAGTCTAAATTGTGTCTGAATTGTCTGTGGTTGTGTTCTCCAAAGCCGTAGAGGTTCTTTGAAGGCAGTAATGTCGATATCTGAAGGAACTGATCTTCGAAAGTAAAGCCACCATAGGATGTGTCAAAACTGAAAAAATAATAGCAGTATGGCGAGTCTAATGGCCGAGCAGTTAAGGCAGGTGTTCCAATAATGCCGGCGCTGGTTCGGGTGGCACGCTCGTCTATATGGTTCTGTTGTTAGAACAGGTTTTCTAAAAACCATGAACCGTAGGCTCAGTGTAGACAATTGGCTCATGTGCCCATGTAAAAGAGAGGGTTGTTAAGAGAGTAGGTTAAAGGTAGAACACTGCTGTGAACAGACTACAGTTACCACAGGGAAGCTCGGACACGAAAGAATAACTTATGTACGCGTTATCCACACCTCGAGCGATTTGAAACTTAATATAAACAAAAGCACTAAGTAGTAGTAATAATAGCACAGTATTAATAATAAGACATATTCCAATTCAACCCAATCCAATTCAATGAGAACATTTGTAAAGCGCCTTTCTTTGTAGATACGAAGCGATGCACCAACATTAGGCACCTCACAACCCATAATAGCCTAACCCAAGCACAGATAAAATAACAAATCAAAAGGAGCAGTGGCAAAGTTTGGAATCATAAATAAATCATGCAACAATAAATAAAATAAGAATATAAATGGGGATAATTATTAAAGAGATAAGTCTTTAAGTGGACCTAAAGACAGCCACAAATGGTGAAGATCGAATGTGCACTGGAAGGTTGATGAAAATTAACATTCAAAGCTGATCTGGTAAGAATTTGCTTATCATTCCAGATAAATGATAACATATACTTCAGACACAATAATATAATATTCATATTCTCCAAGAATTTTATCAAGAAAAAATGCAAATCTATACAATAATAGGCATGTTAGACAAATGACAATATTACGATAGCATACATTTTAGTTCCGGTACTCTTTCGGATAACTTGGAATTTGAATGGCCTTGTTTGGTACGTGACATCATACATTGGATTCTTAGCTTTCGTTGTAGGCACTGGTAAATCAATAGGTACTTCAAAACGTTGCCTAGATGGGTCGAATATCTGAAAGACACGTTTTTAATTATGTTTTCTTACAACATACGTCGATTTGCACATTAATGAAAACAAGATAGGCTTAATAATAATAATTATTGTTATTATTATTATGACCATCACCTCACTATCGTCGTCGTCATTGTCATCATCATCATTATCATCATTATAATATGACATAGAGGTCTCTATGATATGTGGTCTATAAGTCGACCATTATTATTATTATATATTGTCACTATCATCTTCATCATCATCATCATCATCATCATCATCATCATCATATGTATCATAATCATCATATGTATCATAATCATAACTATCGTTATTATCATCATTCATCGTAATTATTATCATCATCATTATATAATATTAATTATTATTATTATTATTATTATTATTATTTTTATATTACATAAGTGCAATTGAAAATACTTAAGAAATCCTTCATCTACAAGTCTATTTATATAACAAGTATTCTAAACTATATTTTCATTGAATTGTTTTAGTTCGGTGCTACCATTTTAATTTTAACGTAATTATTTTTATTATTATTGCTGCTGCATGCCTTCTGGTTTTGTTGATGAAAATAAAGACGTCTATTTTTACCCACCAGAACCAGAACCATTATGTGATTGATTATCTAAGTGATGTAGCACATACCTTAACCCTTAACCTTGAATCAGTTTGCATTTCAACGTCAACTTGAATGGTATTGATGTCTTTATTGTACCTTGACGGTTGGTCATTTAGCCTTTGTAACTTAGCTTGCCACCCGACATTTGTCTTCACAATGTCGTCTCGAACAACATTATAGCCCCATGTTAATGGGTAAAAGCACCATGGCGCCATTTTATCCGTGCTCGTGCTTTTCCAAACACAGCCCCTTTCTGCACATTTGTTCCTATCGACATCCTCCTCTACCCCATTTTTTGGGTAGCAATCAAATCGTTCTTGATCCTTGATTTCATTAATGTAGACTGCGTCAGGGTCTGGCGTATCATCCTTGGTTCCTAAGCCAACTCCTAAACCAATAGCTAAGGCTGTTACTGCCGCGGCTAGCAAGCAAATAATTACTATACTTCTTGTTTCCATTCTGTTTGCAAAAAACAAAAATGCTGAGGTTTATCAAGAGTTTATGGTAATGGTTTGTAGTACCAATACGCTGCTGTATTATTTGTTGTAGACAATACCATTAAATCTTATCACTGGGTTAATAATTCAAAACTGTTTATTAAGTCGTTCTTATGTAAAGTCAGGGCGTATTCCACTGTTCAAAGGTTGCGGCCCGTGAATAGAAATTAAAAACCTTATGTGTTTTTCACGGCCCGACACCGATCATACGTAAAAAGTAACATTAAAACTCAGAATAAAGTGGTGTAAAAGCAATGCTTGGAGGTTTTTGGAAGGTCACTGGATGCATCAAAGTTTGGGTGCGGCCCTCGGTGTTAAATCGAAAATTCACTTTGGCCCTCGCCGACCGATTTTTATGCCCACCCCTGCTCTTAGCTATATGGTACTTAGTAGCTAGCTCAGGTTTTGTATCTACATTATTGTGTATGTATATAGTTTGACTACAAGAATTGGTTCAAGTTGGACAAAATCTATTACACATTTTGAAAATGTGCCAAATGGACAAAGGTAGAGGCCGTTGAGGTCTATATATCTTGGCAACCACATTCATGTTCATTTGCTTTACTTGTAAACTTTGTAAAGAATTTTTGAACATTTACACAAGCTGCAAGGCATGGACCTCTTTGCTGTGCATGTCTTACCTTTTTCAGTAGGCATTTTCCCGTTTACTTCAATGGAGCAATTATAACGGTATCGGTGATGATTATTAAGATGATGATGATGATAAAGATGAAGATGGTGGTGATGATGATGATGATAACGATGATGAATTTATAACAGTTGTAACAAAAAAGTGAGCAGGCTGGTTGCCCCTGGACATTTTCCCCAAGGGAATGTTCCCCTTTATTCCACCGGACATTTTCCCCAACCCGTGATATTTCCCCCTGTGACATTTTCCCCGCACTTTTGCCCTTCCCCAGGACAATTTTCCCCTGACTTTCCCCACCCCTTACATCATTTCTCATATTTAATTTCAATTATATATTTTAACTAACAATACATTTTAATTTTTTTATTTTACTTAATTTTAAGGAAGTAGGCCTGGGTAGGCATGCCTTAGTGCAATAAAATACTACCCGCTTTATAGCTTACATTTTTTGTATAAATATTTTCCATGTTATCAGTATGTTTATGTAAATTTTTTGTTAATAACTAAAAAGATTGAGTAATAAAAAGAAGAAATCATGTAAATCTTGTTGTTACTTGTGCATTTGGGCTACTTAATAAATGTTAATGAGTTAGTACATGAGAGGATGTAAATCTTAATGTATTCAATGTTCTTCTTTTAACTTTTTAACGCATGGGGGAAATGTCTAGGGAGAAATTGTCTTGGGGTGCAAAAGAAATACAGGGGGAAAATGTCCGGGGGAAATGTCTTGGGGGAGGGCAATGTGGAATGTGGAAAAAAGAAATAATTGAGACTATTATACCACGGAAATTCTTAAATTTATGAAGGGAATTAAAGAAACGAAAATAATTTGAAGAGAAAGCATGATCATCCGATTTCACTATGAAGAACATATTATCATGGAGGTATTTATACCTCCGTGATATTATTAACACAACTGGGATACGGGACATTGGTGGCCCGAGTTAGACATCCTTTAGCAGACATTGAGCTGAATTAAATATGAGCACTGTTTCACAAAAAATTGAGTTTATATTCATTTATATATATATATATATATATATATATATATATATATATTAATATTTATATTTATATTGTTTTCTTTTATTAAATATGCACCAAAATGACACAACTTCACGACACTTCACTTCATGACAAAACAGGCAAACAAAAAGTGCAAATTTTGAGTATAATTTATTCATTGCTGAATATCTTGGAAAACAATTTCATGGTTTATAAACATTGTTAAAT